TGACCTACATGACTCTGCACACATCGCACATCATCATAGTGACCATACTGTCCATCAAATTGTAAGATGACGGAGTTCCGCATGGCTCTCTTATTTAGTTCAGAGCCTTGGCTATGCAGATACTTCGTAATGTCGATCTGACGGCAACATAACGCTTTATGGAGAGCAGTGGATCCATATGCATTGCAATTATCTGCCTCAACTCCATGACCGATTAGGAATTTGACGATATCTAAATGGCCATTAGATGATGCAAAATGTAGGGCAGTCGTTCCCAAGTTATTCCCTTTATTCATATCGGCCCCTGCACTGACCAAATATTCCACAACATCCAAGTTCCCTTTCTTTGCAGCATTATGCAAGGCACACCTACCAAAGGCATTGCTAGAATTCACATCAGCTCCTTGAATAAGCAAATATTTTGTCAAATCAAGGTGTCCATTACTTGCTGCAATGTGTAAGGCTGTCCAACCAAAAGAACCAGCTTTATCCAGCTCGGCTCCCTGACCGACTTGATCTTTCATGGCATCAAGATCGCCTCTCTCTGCAGCGGAATGAACCTCCGTCCAATGAATTATATTTGCTTTGGCCAGCTCAGCTTGCTGACTAAGCAAGGCACTTGAAACACGAACACGACCAGCAGCTGCGGCAAGGTATACGGCTGACCATCCTTTGTCATTAGCCTTATCAACATCAGCACCTTGACTGATTAATTCTGTGACAACATCAAGATGTCCTTCATCAGCAGCTAAATGTAATGCAGTCCAACCATCATAATCGTACTGGTTAAAGTCAGCACATTGACTGATTAGTTCTTTGGTCACTTCAAGATGACCAGTATAAGCAGCTAGTTGTAATGGGGTTAGACCATCAATATCAACTTTATTGACTTCAGCTCCTTGACTGATCAGAAATTTGCTGACATCAAGATGTCCTTTACTAGCAGTTGAATGTAATACAGTCCAACCATCACTATCGTCTTTATTCACTTCTGCTCCTTGACTGATCAGATATTTGGTGACATCAAGATGATCATTCTGTGCAGCTAGTTGTAATGGGGTCCTACCATCATTGCTGCTTTCATTGACTTCAGCTCCCTGACTGATCAGAAATTCGCTGACATCAAGATGTCCTTTACTAGCAGCTGAATGCAATGCAGTCCAACCATCACTATCGTCTTTATTCACTTCTGCTCCTTGACTGATCAGATATTTGGTGACATCAAGATGATCATTCTGTGCAGCTAGTTTTAATGGGGTCCTACCATCATTGCTGCTTTCATTGACTTCAGCTCCTTGACTGATCAGAAATTCGCTGACATCAAGATGTCCTTTACTAGCAGCTGAATGTAATGCAGTCCAACCATCACTATCGTCTTTATTCACTTCTGCTCCTTGACTGATCAGATATTTGGTGACATCAAGATGATCATTCTGTGCAGCTAGTTGTAATGGGGTCCTACCATCATTGCTGCTTTCATTGACTTCAGCTCCCTGACTGATCAGAAATTCGCTGACATCAAGATGTCCTTTACTAGCAGCTGAATGCAATGCAGTCCAACCATCACTATCGTCTTTATTCACTTCTGCTCCTTGACTGATCAGATATTTGGTGACATCAAGATGATCATTCTGTGCAGCTAGTTTTAATGGGGTCCTACCATCATTGCTGCTTTCATTGACTTCAGCTCCTTGACTGATCAGAAATTCGCTGACATCAAGATGTCCTTTACTAGCAGCTGAATGTAATGCAGTCCAACCATCACTATCGTCTTTATTCACTTCTGCTCCTTGACTGATCAGATATTTGGTGACATCAAGATGATCATTCTGTGCAGCTAGTTGTAATGGGGTCCTACCATCATTGCTGCTTTCATTGACTTCAGCTCCCTGACTGATCAGAAATTCGCTGACATCAAGATGTCCTTTACTAGCAGCTGAATGTAATGCAGTCCAACCATCACTATCGTCTTTATTCACTTCTGCTCCTTGACTGATCAGATATTTGGTGACATCAAGATGTCCTTCCTGTGCAGCTAGATGTAATGGCGTCAAACCCTCATTTCTGCAGTTATTAACCTCAGCTCCTCTACTAATCAGAAATTTTGTGACATTAAGATGACCATTAAAAGCAGCTGTATGTAATGGGGTCGAACCAGCATTATCATCTTTATTCACTTCAGCTCCTTGACTGATGAGATATTTGGTGACATCAAGATGACCTATCTGCGCAGCTCTATGTAATGGGGTCGAACCCTCCATTCCGCCGTGATTAACCTCTGCTCCTTGACTGATCAGAAATTTGGTGACATCGAGATGTCCAGTCCCTGCAGCTATATGTAACGGGATCACATTATTATTTCCGCCGTTATTCACCTCGACTCCTTGACTGATGAGATATTTAGTGACATCAAGATGACCATTTGAAGCTAGATGTAACGCAGTCCAACCGTCATTATCGACTTTATTCATCTCAGCTCCTTGACTGATCAGAAATTTGGTGACATCAAGATTACCATTCTGTGCAGCTATATGCAATGGTATCAAACCCTTTTCCCCGCCGTTATTAACTTCGACTCCTCTACCGATCAGTTCTTGGATGAGGTCAAGTTGTCCATTCTGCGCAGCACTGCTTAGTTCACTCTGCGAATCATCAACACGGCCATCTTGGTCATTTCCCTCCATACTGTCTCTGTGGATCAGACTTTTGGCGTTGCCTTTACGACTTACACGTAACGGGGTCTAAGTAGGATTTCCGCCGTTATTCACCTCGGCTCCTTGACTGATGAGATATTTAGTGACATCAAATCGACCATCTGAAGCTAGCTGTAACGCAGTCCTACCGTCATTATCAACTTTATTCACGTCGGCTCCTCTACCGATCAGTTCTTGGATAAGGTCAAGTTGTCTATTCTGCGCAGCACTGCTTAGTGCACTCTGCAAATCATCAACACGGCCATCTTGTTCATTTCCCTCCTTACTGTCTCTGTGGATCAGACTTTTGGCGTTGCCTTTACGACTGACCCCCTTTTTGAATATCTTCTTCCACATTCCTAATGAAACCTAAGGGTCTCTCTCCTGGCTACAAGTTCATGAATTCATCAAAATCTTTAAGGGCTGTTTTATTTTTTTTCCTACATGATGTATCTTCACATTCCACTATCAAATTCCTAGTGAAAGCTGGAAGCTGACATCAGTTTATCACCCAAACACCTAGAAAAAAAAGGAACATATTTAAATTTTCGCAAATTCGGTCAGTGGTGAGGTACATATTTTTTAAATTGGATGGAAAGGGCATATCTTGAAGTATCTCAGTCCAAAAAGGGTACGGCTTTGGCCAGGCACGATTGATCTAAGCCACTGACAGATTTTTAGAACTTTAGAGGATGCTATTTATATCATGCGTGATTATTGGAGTGAAATTTAGCTAGGTTGTGTGCATTGATAAGATTAAATACTGTAGAAGTTTAAAACAAAACGGAATTGGTATGAGAAAGTGACGGCAATTTACGGTTTTTAGGGGTTAATATTTATATAATTTAAGCGAATTTTGGCGGTAAGAGGACATTTTATATTTTTGTTTGGTCCAAAAAAAAAATCGCAACGACTCAGCCAGCCGCTGAATAAGTAGGAGGGGGGGGGGGGGGGGGGGGGGGGGGGGGGTAAGAGCACATTTTTTTTAATATTTTTTTTTGCGGGGGGTCCCGAATATTTGAAAATCGTGCCGGCCGCAAATTCGCTCAGTGGGTGGGGGGTGGGGGAGAGCACACTAATTTTTTTTTTTTTTTTTTTTTTTTTTTTTTTTTTTTTGGGGGGGGGGGGCGGGGGGGGGGCACGTTCCTGTTTGCCGGTACTTTTTTTTTGCAAATTTGGGGCTGATTTCAACTTTTTTGGGGGGCCGGGGGGGGGGGGTACCTGCCCTCTGTGCCTCCTGGATCCGTCCCTGTTGTAGACAGGTAGTCACTAAAGCAGGTTTGATTATAATTGTATAATGTAATACAGGGCTCTCTTGCAAAGCAGTTTTGATTTACTGAAGAGACCACCCTGTATATGGAACACATAATATATAAACGTATGAACGAATGCAGATATATATTTCTAACAACCAGTTATTCCATCAATCAAAGGTCACATCTCACTCTCTTTTTTTAGTTTATTCGGTTCGTTGGTCCCATTATAATGAATTCATGATCCCCATTGATACACAATACTCAATTTGGAAATTCCTTTAAAAATAAGTACGAGCGCCATTTACTATCCGATTATGTTTAAGTTAAATGCAATTTAGTATGTAACCGGCAACTACCTGAAGTTGATAGAATATATTTTATTCTTTGTAATGGATGTATCAACTTGTCAAGCCACATAGGCTTTTACAGATACACCCTATTTCATTTTCAACACAATTTACATTTAAATGTAATTACTTTGTTTCACATATTTAGGTCGATTTTTGTAATTGTTGATACGAGTTTTTCCCAATTTGACATTGTGACGTCAGAAGCGGGGTTTTTATGTGTGTGTGTGTGTAATTGGGTTTTTACAGACGTGTATCAATCAGATATGATTATTTACGTCTGGGGACCGACTTTTAACGTCACCATCCGAAAGACGTGACTCAGTTTCGAACCTGCGTCCTCGGCTGAATCAGTCAGTTTACTTCCACTGTTAGCTGGATTACAGGCGCACGCAGGTGGATTCTGCATTCAGGTCGTAGAGGGCGGGATTTGATTCTGTGGAGCTACTGATTTACGTTACACTGAATGTTTATTACACTGAACAGTCTACTGTTAATTTTGTTTTCCTGAGACAGCCCAATGTTGTAAGTAGAAAATCACTGCATATTATGATAGCTCAATATTTACTCTTAAATATTGGGAGTTTTGGAGGGCGTTTGAGAACTCAATAGACTGTACAAGTATTCCGGACAGTGCCAAACTGACCCGCCTTCTATACTAGTGCGAAGGAGATGCCCGCAAAATCTTGCAGCCTTGTAGTATTATGCCATCTGGCGAAGGGTATATGAGGGCGAAGGCCATGCTACAAGAGAGGTTTGGTACACCCTTCATGATAGCTGATGCATGGATCAGGAAAGTGACCGGAGGGCGGAAGATCACCGGACGGGACAAGAGGGCCCTAAGAGAATTCGCAGATGAACTGCAAGTTTGCTCACTGACTTTAGATGCCATGGGTTACATTGGCGATTTGTCACCACAGTTAGTCCTTGTCCAGATAGTTGAACGACTACCACTATACTTATGCGGGAGATGGCTGAGTGTGGTACGAAGAATCAGGCGAGAGGATAGACTTCCTAACATATTTGACCTGGTGGATTTTGTCCAAGGTGCAGCCGATGAGGAGAATGATCCGGTCTACGGAAGGCTTCTTACCAAAGATCAGGGCGGTAGAGGCACCTCCCAGAACAAGAAGTCGACAGGACTGAAGAAGGGTGCTTTCTCCACGACAGCCACAGGCAATGATGTGACACCACAGCTGTGTGTGATATGCAAGGAATCGCACAGTCTGTTTGGCTGTGACAAGTTCAAACGAATGCAACTAGATGACCGGCTGAAACTGGTGAGGGAAAACAGGCTTTGTTTTAACTGTTTGGAGAAGGGACACATGTCGAGATACTGTAAACTAAAGAGGGTATGTTCAGTTTACGGATGCAACAGAAAACATACTAAGTTTCTCCATCAGCAGAAACCAGAACAACCTCAGCAAGCACAAGAGGAAGCTGTTAGTCCTTCACCTGAGAAGATTGAGAGTCATGTCACAGGGGCCGGGAACATGAAGGTGCTATTGCCAATCGTTCCTGTCTGGGTTTATGCGGCAGGCAGTAATATTGGTGTAGAGACTCTAGCACTGTTGGATTCAGGCTCGACAAGTACCTTTTGTACTAAGAAGTTGGCAGCAAGAGTGAAGGCAAGTGGATTGTCCAGTATAGTGTCTGTCTCAACTCTGGAAAGAGCCAACAGCGAACTTCAGACCAGTGTTGTAAGCCTGAAAGTTGCAGCAAAGTCATCATCCAGGATGGTGAATCTCCCTAAAGTCTATACCAAGACAGACATTAACATTAATCCAGATCACATGCTAAAGAAGGAGGATGTTGACAAACTCCAACATCTCACAGATGTCGACTTTCCATCGACTACCAAACTGCAGGTGGATCTGCTGATTGGGCAAGATTATCCAGAGCTTATTTGTCCCCTCGAGATACGACGTGGTGAGCCAAGAGACCCTTATGCAGTAAGGACAGTGCTGGGGTGGACCCTGAATGGGCCGGTTCAGAGTGATGGTAGGAGGATGGCTGTGACATCACACTATATCTCAGATGAAATATCCCTTGAAGACCAATGTAAGCTGTTTTGGTCTCTAGAAGGCATTGAAACCCTCCATTGTGATGCTAAAGGAATGTCAGTCAAGGACCGAGAGGTATTGAAGCTATGGGAGGACAATGTGGTAATGAATGGAGGTCACTATCAACTGCCCATACCATTCAAAGAACGACCCCCGCCACTTTGTGACAATAGATGGATGGCCCAGCAGAGACTCCATTCACTTAGAAGACGACTTCTCAGGGATACGGCAATGCATGCTAAGTATACACAGGGCATGGCTGACCTAGTTGCCAAGGGCTACGCCGAGGAAGTTGATGAAACTCAACCGCCAAATGGAACTTGTTGGTACCTACCACATCACCCAGTGATAAATCCGAAGAAGCCAGACAAACTTCGGATTGTGTTTGATTGTGCTGCCAAGTGCTTAGGAGTTGGTCTGAACGATGTGGTGATGCAAGGGCCGGATCTGACCAACAAGTTGACTGGTGTACTTCTTCGATTTCGTCGAGCACCAATTGCCATCATGGCTGATGTGGAAGCCATGTTCCACCAGGTAACAGTCCATCCAGATGAACGAGATGTACTTCGCTTCTTGTGGTGGCCTGATGGAAGAGTGGATGAAGATCCTAAGACCAACAGGATGTGTGTGCACCTGTTTGGGGGCACATGGAGCCCCAGCTGTTGCTCGTTTGCCATGCGGCAAACAGCAAAGGACTATGGAGATCAGTGCAATACACAAGCACCAAGAGTAGTAGAGATGAATTTCTACGTAGACGACTGCCTGGTCTCTGTTGAAGAGGAAGATGAAGCTATAAGACTGGCATCAGAATTGAGAACCTTGTTGCAGAAGGGTGGATTTCGACTCGCTAAGTGGATGAGTAGCAACACAAGAGTTCTGCAAACCATACCAGTACAAGATCGGGCCAAGCAAGTGGTTGGACTCGACCTGAACTTTGATGCCCTACCAATAGAGCGTGCACTTGGTATGATATGGGATGTAGAAAGAGATAGCTTTGTCTACAAGATTCAGGCAAAGGACAAGCCTTTAACACGAAGAGGACTCTTAAGTGTTGTTTCTTCTGTCTACGACCCTTTGGGATATGCTAGCCCATTTGCACTGAGAGGGAAGTTGATTCTTCAGGAGTTGACCCGGAAGAAGCTGAACTGGGATGAGCCTATCTCTGACAGTGATGCAAAGAAATGGAAGGCTTGGATTGAGGAACTTCCACAGATGGAAGGAGTTGAGGTCAGTAGATGTGTCAAGCCTCACGACTTTGGCAGGATAACTGATTACGAGATCCACAACTTCTCTGATGCATCTGAAGTAGCCTACGGGGCTGTATCATATCTAGTGATGAGGAATGAGGAAGGAGAGGTGCATAGCAGTATCATCATGGCCAAGTCACGCCTTGCTCCAGTAAAGACCGTTACCATACCTCGACTAGAATTGATGGCAGCTACACTTGCTGTGAATATGGATGTCGTGATAAGAGGAGAGCTAGACCTGCCTGTGAAGAAATCATACTTTTGGACTGACAGTATGATAGTGTTGCACTACATAAAGAATGAACATAGAAGGTTCCGTGTCTTTGTGTCAAACAGGGTGGCTATGATACACAATGCCACAGAGATAGACCAATGGAGACATGTTGGCTCAAAGGAGAATCCGGCAGACATCGTATCCAGAGGCATGTCACCGTCTGATCTGAAGGATGATGAGAAGTGGTTTGTTGGACCAGCCTTTCTACAACAGCCAGAGGAGAGATGGCCCACATGTCCCATAGAGAAGGATGGGATCAGAGAGGATGATCCAGAGGTGAAGCCTCTAGTCCAGAACTTTGCTACAAGTGAGGGCAAGAAGTGCATTGACCAGCTCTTCATGCACTATTCGTCCTGGACGAGACTACGCAGAGCGGTAGCTTGGTGGATGAGGTTGAAGGAAACCCTTAGTAGGAATGTAAAGAACTGTACTCCAGTTAAAGAATTGAGCAGACACTTGACAGTGGAGGACTTGACCTGTGAAGAAGGGGTCGAGGCTTGCAAGGTTGGATCCTGTTTTGCAAGATGGTCTACTGAGGGTAGGAGGCAGGCTTGGACGAGCACATATCCCAGACACTGCAAAGCATCAGGTGATACTGCCTAGAAGGCATCATGTGTCAGCACTGTTGGTATGGCACATACACGAGAAGGTTGGACATCAAGGCCAAAATCATGTTTTGGCAGAACTCAAGCAGTACTACTGGATTCTGGGAGCTGGGGTCCTGGTGAGAGGCTTGTTAAGCAAGTGTGTAACTTGTCGTCGCTACCAGGCCAAGGTCGGCAAGCAGAAGATGGCTGATCTACCTGCCTTCCGAGTAGTAGCTGATGAGCCAGCATTTACACATGTGGGGATGGACTACTTCGGTCCTTATGAGATCAAGTGTGGGCGCTCTGTAAGAAAGAGATACGGCGTGATATTCACATGTATGACAACTAGAGCTATCCACATCGAGGTTGCCAAATCTTTAGACACCAGCTCATGCATTGATGCCATCAGACGCATGATGAGCAGGAGAGGACCAATAAAGAGGTTGGTCTCGGACAATGGCACCAATTTGGTAGGCGCTAAGGCTGAGCTGAGGAAGGCACTGAGTGATTGGAACGTTGATGAAATCTCAAACTTCACGGCTAATCACAGTATAGATTGGAGTTTCAACCCGCCAGGGGCCTCACATCATGGCGGTGTGTGGGAGAGACAGATAAGAACGATCAGGAAAGTACTGCATGCTCTTCTCAACGAGCAGTATTTAAGGACATGTCAGTCGGAGGAGCAGCTTCACACTCTGATGTGCGAGGTAGAGGCAATCATCAACAGCAGGCCTCTTACTCGTGTCTCTGATGATCCTGGAGATCTGGAAGTCATCACGCCCAGCAGTCTGCTACACATGAAGCAGACCTCAGCACCACCTCCGAGTAAGTCCACTGAGGGAGATGTCTTCGCCAGGAGACGTTGGAGGCAGATGCAGTACCTGGCTGATCTCTTTTGGAAGAGGTGGATTAGGGAGTATCTACCTAGTCTACAGCAACGTCAGCGGTGGCAGCAGCCTGAACGCAATCTTCAGGTTGGTGACGTGGTTCTCATCGCAGACGGAACTGTGCCGAGGTGTTGCTGGCTGATGGGACGCGTTTTAGAAGTGTACCCTGGTAAGCGGGGATATGTACGTAGCGTGAAGGTTAAGACTGCAACGTCGACACTCGTCAGACCCATCGCGAAGCTTTGTTTACTTCTCGAGCAAGAGGAATCGCAATAGACGGCTTCGAGAAGTTAGCCATTTTATTTGTTGTTTTTAGAGCTGATACAAAATAATTCCAGTTCAATTCAAGATAGGGATTACTTTAGGTAGCGTTGAGCAAGAAACATTCAACTTCTGTGAACACAGCATCTAGTTTAGGGAGCATTGAGCATGAAACATTCAACTTCTGTGGACACAGCATCTAGTTTCGCATAAATGAATTCGGTTTAGATTCGCTTCAACAAGAAGAGACTTTACTACAGTGATATTATACAGATACTTTGTGTTTCGTAGTGACTTGCTGAAATGTTTAATTGAATTGAAGCATAACTCATTTCTAGTTAGAATTCAGTTTCTAAAGATAGTATTCTGATGGTAATACAATAGTTTGTAATCAGAAGATAAGGAAAGAAATACAGGTAGTATGTCCTTATTGTCATATTATTAGTGTTCTGCTATTCGGTAAGGACATATGTTTCCATAGCAACCACCTTTTTTGGATTTAAAGGGACTGTATTTATTCAGTTAGGAAATATGTTTCCATAGCAACCACCTTTTTTGGATTTAAAGGGACTGTATTTATCGAAGTCTTGAAAATTTCAAGGGAGTGACAGTTTTGTTATAGATGTTGGCAGTGAAAGGTTTGGTAAATTCAAAGTATTCGGTTAATTTAAGGGGCCGGGATGTTGATACGAGTTTTTCCCAATTTGACATTGTGACGTCAGAAGCGGGGTTTTTAGGTGGATTCTGCATTCAGGTCGTAGAGGGCGGGATTTGATTCTGTGGAGCTACTGATTTACGTTACACTGAATGTTTATTACACTGAACAGTCTACTGTTAATTTTGTTTTCCTGAGACAGCCCAATGTTGTAAGTAGAAAATCACTGCATATTATGATAGCTCAATATTTACTCTTTTGCCTGATGTTAATGGTGATTATAATGGTGGATTGATGTGATGTATGAAATAAGATTAGAATCATAGAACATCCATACGTTTTGAATGTAAATGTACCACATATAAGTTTTGGTGTAAGTAGCGTATAAGATAATTCATGCTGGAAAAGTACGAAATATCCAAGTAAGTTTATGATATTATGAATGAGCAAGAAGCTCTATTAATGTATGACAGAATACGATTATGACTTAATTATGAACAGAAGATAATGGTCTAAATTTAGTTAGCTAGGGAAAGTAGCATTTGAGGTAAAAGGGACATTTTAGCACAAAATGACAGAAAGTAGGTCGGGTCAATTTGCATGACAAGGGTAGGCATACAGAATATGGAGTGAATATTTTGATACAGGCATCAAGGATAACAATGTCATTTATAGTTATTATTCGGTGCTATGCATTTGGAAGACAGTTTGTTGCAGCAAACTTGATTGTTTTAATTGCGTGATGCATATGTATATCAGCCATGCTGATAATTTGTTTTATCTGTTCTATCTTTTATTAAAGGTTGAACCACTCATTGGTATCATCGCAAGGGCATTGTTGTCGAGTCGTCATTGCAGTTGGGCTTAGTAATACTCATAACGTCACCGTTCCTACAGTAATTATGTACATTGTAAATGTTTACAACCTGTTTTTCATTATAGTATTCATTGTCACTATTCTATGATAACTATTCCGATCTGTATTTGACCTTTAATACCTATACATAATAATAATAATAATAATAATAATAATAATCTTAAATAATTTTGGTAGCATGGTAGCAGCAACTCCCGTCTTTTAACGTATTTTGGTATGACGCGGCCGGGGTTCGAACCCACGACCTCCCGGTTGTGAGGCGGACGCTCTACTGACTAAGCCAACACATGACATTACATTACAAGATAAACATCAGAAGTGAATCCTACTCCCTTCAGGAGCTGGGAATACACCTATCATGCATCATCATGGTACATTGGACTCAAAAGTTGTATGCAAATCGCCTAACATTGCCCGAATGTTGACAATTTCTCTCACGACATGAGATCACGAATCATCACCATTACCATCAACATGACCATCAACAACAACAACAGCAAATCTTCCCCTTCGACAAATACCCCCTAGGACAACTACCCCCTAGGAAAACTAACCCCTAGGGCAACTACTCTCTAGGACGACTACCCCAGATAACTACCCCCTACGACAACCATCCTCTAGGATACCTACCCCCTGGACAACTATCCTAGGGGGTAGTTGTCCGGGTTAGATGTCCGGGGGTAGTTGTCCTAGGGGTAGTTGTCCGGGTGGCAGTTGTCCGGGGGTAGTCGTCCTAGAGGGTGGTAGCCCTAGGGGCTAGTTGTCCTAGTGGATAGTTGCCTAGGGAGAAGTTGACTGGGGGCGGTTATCCGGGGGATGGATGTCCAGGGGGTAGGTGTCCGGATACGGTTCATGATATATAATTAGGATAAGGGTTTCTGTAATATATACATAGATTGTATGTAAGTCTATTCCGACGAGCTTATATAGTGGCTATTGCTTGGATCAACCAAATTTAGAGGTAACGAGTCAAAAATTATATATTAATTGTACTCACTGTTTGCCTAGATCCTGCTAAATGCGAAATGAATCGTGGAATGAGGCGTCGAGTCCTTTCCTCAGAAATATTTATCCAATCATAGCCGACTTAAAAGGACTCACACGTAAGCTTACACAGTTCAAATAAAAGTAAGTGGCAACAAGTGACACGAGAGGTCTCTTCTAGAACGCGTTATAAAGGTGTCTATAATGTCTCTTTCGCAAGATAAGAGGAGAGTTTGTCTCTGGGTCATGAATCCGCCGTGTCAGATGTAAAAATATGTAGTGTGTCGAAGAAAATGATCTAGAAATCAAACTAATGCAGATTCCATTTGCAGAAATGTGCTTCGATCCATCAGATTTCCATGTATAAGTGATGGATAACCGGTATGAAATGAAAGACATAGGCTGCGTGAGTCTGTATTTCAACATCTGGTGACGTGGCATTGAGCAGTTACCAATGCACTGAGTCAGTTGGATCATGTGGTACAAAAACGATACCAGAGGCAAATACAAATAACTAGAGCGAATAAACCAAACAAAAGAATACATATCTCTTGCTTAGTGAGTCGGTCCTGATGGACAATGTGAGGCAAATAGCTTCATGTGATAAAGTGGCCTGGGCATTTTGCTCAACGAGTGGAAATCTTAGTCTTTTCCCAGACAGAGAAGAAACTACTTTAAAAGACGATGGGGGGGGGGGGGGACTTCAATATATATCTATTGCCATTGCATCTGAGTAATTTTCCCGACTTTTCCCGAAATTCAATCACTTAAATCTACTACACTAGCGAATCTAGACAACGCAAAATCTTCTGTTGCAAATCTAATCATGTTATAGGGGGGGGGGGAGGGGTGGGGTTAATAAAAGGCCAGCATTTGGTTTCCCAGTAACTATTTGATTATGTTTTGAATTTTTACAAACGAATTTCGTTTTGTTTATGATATGTATACATGTGTTTATTTATTGGTACCTAAATCTCAGGGAATTTATACTAAAATTAGGAACTTAAACTCAACGATAATTGCCCCACAATATTTGAGAAAACCCTTCATGAAATTCGAATGGAGCAGAAACAAAAATATCGAAGCGCAATGTAGGCCTTACTTTGTCTCTTCTTTGTCATTTTTGGCTGTGAGTGTTCGTGAAGGGGAACGCATTGATGTGGTGTGTGTGTGTGTTTGTGTGTGTGTGTGTGTTATTTTGGATGTGAGAGGTGGTGCTTTGTTTGGGGGTTGGGTAGTAAGGGAGGGGGGTTATAATTTGTTTCATATTATAACTGATTTCATTCCACGCACAAAAAGCGATCGTAATTTGTGAATTGTACACGTATTAAAATGCGTTTCATGGGGCTCCGCCTCTGACCCCCCCCCCCCCCCGCCGGGAATTGCCCCTGGACCCCACGCCAATTTACGCACCACTTGCTTTGCTCGCTTTGATCGTAAATACTTTAGCCCCCCTCCCCACTTTGAAAAACGTTGCCAGCTCCTGCGTATCATGTAAGAGTGGTGGTGATGCAGATTTTTTTTCTGCCCCCCCCCCCCCCAACGTTTTTGCTCATTACGCCACTGCTCCCTCGTCCCTAGCATTTTGTCCCCCCGGTCACCAAAAGAAATCGCCGCCCCTGATATCATGCCACAGTATCGTAGGTGAATAAGATATTTCATACAGCTGGGCTTGTATCAAGGGTAACAGAAGAAAGAAAAACACATTTGAAAGGAACTTTCTGAAAGGAAACGTACCTGGATTGAAATCATTTGTAACGATTTTCACGCTGGTAGGTTTTCATGAAAAACGAATCATTTCATGATCACCGATTGTGACCTTGAGGAGCGTGGGTGCCTAGAAGCTCAAAAACATGTTTGTCGAAGGGATTCTTTAGAGTAAAATTACAATGGAAAAATATCTGAAGTGATAAGCATGTCCAAATTTGGGTATTATTTCGTTTCGCTTTGATACAGACATTCCTCGCTAATATACGAGAAAACTCAGACAGACATGTACTGAAGTGAAAACCGGAAACAATATTTTGGCTTCTGTTTATGACATTTTACCTGATATTCAGGTCCACCATCCTTAACAAGATTTCACATTTATATATGTATCATAATATAGTTAAGGAAATAAGTGGAAACCCTCAAAACTTAATACCGAATTACATTTATGCATTTAGCTTTGGTATGCTATACTTGAACCTAAGAGGGCTTTTAACCGTTAAGCTGGTGTTAATTAGATTGCGAAAACCCGATTTTTACAGATTTTTCTTTCTTTCGCAGCGTTCTACATTAGTTAAAGAATATCAGAAATTAACAAAGTATATCTAGGCATATATATCATGTTTATGGTGAAAAACACACGGTCCTTCAAGTGATCAAATTGAACTCCTCCGTCCCGGGTACAAAACATTACAGATATGTGTGCTTATGAAGAATTTGTTTGCAATTTATTTAGGCTCTGGCATACTCTAAAATAAGATACCGACGATCATTAAGCTATGTAACATATACTCTAACCTATGGTTCAATTTTGTACTGCTATTAATCTGATGATGTTGCGAATTTGGTATAAATTGATGCAGAAAACAAGATTATTTTGTTTCAAACATCAAGTTATAACAAAATTGCTAGATATTGCTTCATAATACAAATAGATTTGGGTGAAAGATCAGATGAACAAGTCAGGACGTATGCTGTGGCACAAATGGCCTTCCATACTAATATAATCATGTAGGGTATAAAATGGCATCTAAAATGCCAAACCCCTCTCTCCTTGACAGATTTTCAAAATTCGGCTTCGACATTATGAGATACCGTGCTTTTGGTCACCCAGGCTTGCACGATTTCGAGGTGGAAAAAAGAACGGAAAGGGGACGAAAAGCGTTCTGCAAAATGACGCCATAGATAATGCTTGTTATATTATTGTGTGGAAACCCAGTAGTAGACCAGCTAAGACACAATATTTTGTTTAATACTTTTAACGGCATGTTAGGGGTAATGCCTGGCATCCATGCTAAAACCCTTGCGAAAATACTAAAAAATAACATTCGGGTAGATGCCACGCGCATTTTCTGCTCAGAATTCAATTTATTTTCCTCATAATTTGGAAGAATATCATAAACGAATTATTTTTTAATTCTTTTATTTACCTAACAATTATGCATTATTTGAGAATGACCTTTCACTTAATATTATTTTTTATTTTCATTATAAGTTTGAAGTAACAGATGAAAGATGAAAGTGGCGTTATTTAAAAAAAAATGTACACACCATTAAGCTGTCCATTGAAACACTTGTTCTTGATTAAACAAATAGTAATCATACATATAATTATATAGATAAAGGTTGAAAAGGTTCAACTGTATCAGTAAGTGTTGTAAAGTTTGTTTCACCCGAAGGTTCATCAGCAACTAAATATTCTTGCATTCACCCTTACTAGGGTATTATTATGTCTCTTTTGTATTCTTGCCAGCCTGCACATGAGTGTATTTAACAGTGCCTTGTGTAATATGTATATAGTTGCTGATGAGCCTTCGGATGAAACAGTCTGTACAACACTTACTAATAAAGTTAAACCTTTTCAAAATCTATATCTACATTAGTCGAGCACTGTCAGAAATTACAATTTTACTAAAAATGGCTTATATAAACTTTCCTTATTTTTTTCACCCAAGAATAATTAATAGAAAACAATGACAAATTGATAACGTAACAAGATATGTTTTCGTATGCGAGTTTGTATTTCATTATTTTATTATCTCTCTCTCTCTCTCTCGTTATTCCCTTACTTTCTCCCCCTCTCTCTTTCTTTTTTCCTCTCCCCCCTCTCCCCCCCCCCCCCCCCCCCTCTCTCTCTCTGTCTTGGTCCTTCTCCATCTTTCAACGTTTATTAAGACCACGTCCTTTCTCTCCTGATCACACTCTCCCATCCTGTGAAAAGCGCTTTGCCCTCTTTCTTTCTCTCCTCCTCTCCTCTCTCTCTCTCTCTCTTGGTCCTTCTCCATCTTTCAACGTTTATTAAGACCACGTCCTTTCTCTCCTGATCAC